ATAAATAAATTAAAAGGCAAAAAAAATTTTTGATCAGGAAACATGAAAATACCACTAGAAAAATAGGAACTTCTTATTAAATGTTGCAGATGAATCACATGTTTATCTCTACCTCTGTAGAAACAGTAAGATTTTCTATTCATGTATAATTCTTAAGAACAAAGAGAATGGGAGAGAGCTAGTGGTGAGGGGTATATGTCAACAAAGTATTAGAAGTAGACAGCAAGCAGATGGTGGTAACTGGCTTAGTGGTGCCAAGAAAGCTACAAGCCCTTCTGGCCATGTTGGGTACTGCCAGGAACTAAGACAAGTTCCACACACACCCTCCAGCTTCAAGCTTTCTCTACGGTTTTATCCTTCTCCTGAGGGACTAGGGTGCCAAGGAATGCACTGGTCTTGTTGCTACCCAAGACTAGACCCTGCCCTGCTCTAGGCATCCTGACCCTGCAGAACTATCTCCCCAGATGACAGACATGTAGACATGTTGTAGCCATCTCTGTCTTCTATTTGTGTGTACAAAGAGTGAATATTTAAGACCTCATGCTCATTTTTAATTAAGGCTCAAGAGGAGCAGACCAGCTCATCTAAAGCAGGCAGACAGAAAATGAAAGAAAAGATAGACCAAGTCTCTGAGACTCAGAAGGACAAGCGTCGCATGGCCTTAACCAAGAAGGCCGTTTCGGGGGCACTTGCTGGAACCATTTCCCCGCTGTCAGATATAGACCTGAACAATTTCAACGGGCAGCACTCCCAGGAGAAATTCATCAGGTGGGCCTCCCAGCAACCAGGGGAGGGGAATGCCAAAGCCTACCTTGAGGGTGTGGCTGTCACAGCACTGGAGGGGAACAGAGCTGTCCTGTTTGTGGGGCTCCAGGGGCCACGATGCCACTAGCCCAACAGGGCAGGACTTCCAGGCAGCTCTCCTGTCTTCTCTTGGCCAGAGGGGAGTACTCTCACTTTACAAACCTGTGTGGTCATTTGCAGACTGAATCACTTTCGGTGGATTGTGCCAGCCAACAGCGAGGTAACGTTGCAGGTGTACTTCTCTTCTGACGAGTTTGGGAACTTTGACCAAACCTTTAACTTTGAGATCCTAGGAACTTGTCGCCAGTACCAGCTCCACTGCCGAGGCATCTGCACTTACCCATACATTTCCCAAGACCCAAAGTAAGTATGCTTCATTTTAAAAGATAAAGTTGACCACTGTTTTTATTTTCCTCTGTGGTACTTTGAACAGGTGGCTCTCATCATAACATGGAGCTCTGGCATCATCCCAGCCCCTCTTGTTGTATCAGCTTCCCTATCTTGGACATTGACTAAGAGCCACAGGGGGGACGTGATATTACCAGGGATTCCCAGACTGCAATAAAGACAATGATCATAGGTGCAAAGTGGGAGGAAAAAAGTCTTCCCCTGGCAAATGAGTTTGCTTATTTAACTATTAAGCAAGTTTAAAGCAGTTCTATTCTATAATTTAGAAACCATGTGTAACCAAGGTCAGGAGTTCAAGACCAGCCTGGCCAACATGGTGAAACCCTGTCTCTACTAAAAATACAAAAATTAGCTGGGTGTAGTGGCGGGCACCTGTAATCCCAGCTACTCAGGAGGCTGAGGCAGAAGAATGGCTTGAATAAGGGAGGCGGAGGTTGCAGTGAGCTGAGATCATGCCACAGTACTCCAGCCTGGGTGACAGAGTGAGACTCTCTGTCTCCAAAAAAAAAAAAAAAAAAAAAAGAAAAGAAAAAGAAACCTTGTGTGACTCTGCATGGGTGAACTTTTTCCAAGCTACTGAACAACACTGTGCAGCTCATGCACTGCAGAAAAGCACCTGGCTGAGCAACTTGGCCACATTCGACCAAGGGACTCAGAAGCTAATTCATATCTCCCAGAACTGGTTTTCCATAGGGGTTCGCAGGAATGTTTTTAGCTGGGCGCACTAGGACAAAACATCTGACTCAGCTCTGTCACCACTCTCATTATAGAAGACACCACTGGAAGTCTTTTTTTCGAGTTCGGATCATAATGTCTTCTCTGGTGGTGGGAAGGAGCTGGGACAAAGAAGAGTCACTGTCTGTAGACGCCCAGACCCCATGTTGAGCAGGGAGTGTTAGGTTTATATAAACATCACGTGGCAGCGTTGAACTTCCGTTCAGGCAGCCTCCCCTCACCTCTTTCTCTCCTGTGTTCAGAGTTATATTTCCTCAGAGGAAGATGGACATGAAGATAAATGAGGTCATCTTTAAGAAGTATGTTATGAGTGTGGAGACATACTATTTCGGGCCACTGCTTTGTGGAAAATCAAGAGATAAGTAAGTGTTCCATTATTTTAAAGCAGATTTCAGATTCTGGGTTGGGCTTATAAACAGTACAAGTAGGATTCCTATGTACACAGATGTAGCTTTTACTAATGCTGCCTCTCTTAGCCCCCAGCCACAAGTCAGGAGAACTGGGTTCTTGTGTCCCAACTTCCTGCTGGACACCCAGAGGAATGAGGGTGCTATTTCCCATATGGGAAAGCCTAAGAGAGGCTTCAGGCTTGATCAGAGAAGGATCAAGAGTTCACTTTGGGGTATGTTCAGTTTAAATTGCTGGGAAGATATTTCTGGTAGTCACATGAAGCAGAGAATAGGTTGTATAGCTTTGGTTCTCAAAGGAGAGGTCACTCTTCAAGGCAACAAAAGCCACAGATATAGATGAGATTGCCTGAGAGAAGACTATATGTAAGAAGAGAAAGAGCCCTGAATAACTCCAATATGCACAAAAGGAGGAGCCAGGAGATGAGAAAGAGGGCCAACACTATTGGGGAAACCAAAAAGACCAGTGTCGTGGAGCCCTGAGAGGAGGACGTGGTTGCTACATTGAATGCTGCAGAAACTGCAGAAAGATGAGGGCATAGATGTCCACAGAGTTCAACAACATTGAGGTCACTAGGAGCGTTAGCAAGAGTCTTTTGCCCAAGCAAAGTAAAGTGAGAAGTCAGATGTGAGGATAACTCTTTGGAGAAGCTTGGCTGTGAAGGGAGATGGGAGGACAGCCTGGAGTGCAGAGCAGGCTGTTCGCGCACTGTTGTTCTTGTGATGCTTGCATGCCAAGAGGAAATGGAAGGAAGAGGTTGGAGTTTCAGGAGTCGGTAAGGGCCATCAATGGCATAGCTCCCTGAGGCAGCACAGTGGGATGTGAGGGTGCTGGCCTATGCCAGGAAGAGGGACCGTCACTGCATGCCAGTGAGGAAAACGGCAAGATGGCATCGCAGACGGTAAGTTTACACTTTGGTTGGAAGACTGAGGAGGCTCCTACACAGTCATGTCTTTTCCTCCTTGACAGATGATGTGAGATCACCCCTTGCAGTGAGGGGAGTTGAGGAAGTTTGAAATCTTGAAGAAATAGAGAGGGCATGAAAAACAGCTTTGCGGAAAGTAGGAGAGGGAGCATGTTAGAGAAACAGATTAAGATTATTAGGCAGAATTGGGGACCCACAGGTGAGATTGGTGATCATACATTCTTAGTGAGACTAGTTTTTTCAGTTATATACAAATTTCATATCATATAAGCAGGAAATGAAACCAAAACTGGAACCAAGGTTTCCACCACGTCTTTACTCCATACAGCATTTCTTGTGCTAAGTAGAGGTTGTTAATTTCTGGGCCTCCTCAGTGCAGCTTGTGGCCATCTTTGTCCTCCATTCCCATTACCTCCACTTTATTCCCTGAGATGTTGGATTAAAAAGTGAAGGTGAAGGGAGTTTGCTGATGATGGAGAGGATCTACAAAGCCCAACAGGAGGGCTTAGGAGGGAGACATGTGGTCAGGTTAATGGACATGAGGTACAGAACAGTCTTGGGGTGGGAGTCAGGGAAATGATGGCTGTTCAAGGAGGTACACGTTTGGGACAGCATTGGAATTCACCAGGATGTGGGGACAGATGACACTGATCTGGGAGGACAGTGACTACGGTGATCCAAAACAACTTCCAGTACAACTGAGTATTATTCGTTTATTCTTTTTCTTTTTCTTTTTAAGCTTTATTTATTTTTTTAGACAGAGTCTCACTCTGTCACCAGGTTGGAGTGCAGTGGTGCAGTCTCGGCTCATTGCACCCTCTGCCTCCCTGGTTCAAGTGATTCTCCTGCCTCAGCCTCCCAGGACTATGGGACCATGGGCACGTAACGCCACGCCCAGCTAATTTTTTGTTTTGTTTTGTATTTTTAGTAGAGATGGGATTTCACCATTTTGGCCAGGATTGTGTCGATTTCTGGACCTTGTGATTCGCCCACCTGAGCAAAGTGCTGGGATTACAGGCATGAGCCACTGCGCAGGGCCTTGTTGTTGTTGTTGTTGTTGTTGTTGTTGTTGAGATAAGGTCTTACTCTGTCACCTAGACTGGAATGCAGTGATGTGATCTCAGCTCACTGCACCCTTGACCACCCAGGCTCAAGCAACCCTCCCATCTCTGCCTCCCCGTTAGCTGGGACTACAGGTGTGTGCCATCCCACCTGGCTAATTTTTGTATTTTTGTAGAGATGTAGTTTCGCCATGTTGCCTAGGCTGGTCTCAAACTCCTGAGCTCAAGCAATCTGCCCACCTCAGCTTCCCAAAGTGCTGAGATTACAGACGTGAGCCACTGTGCTAAGCCTATTCACTTATTCTTTTAAACCTTGCTGAGGTTTATTATCCTCATCTGTAAAATGGGAAAACAACAGCACCCTCCTCAGATTTGTGAGGACTGAACTGGGTAATGCACATGGAGCCTTTAGCACAGTCTTGGGTGGAGGTGATTAGCGGTTAGGTGAGAAAGCCACACACCCCTTTGGCGGTTATCCACACAGAGAGGTTTCTGTCTCTCTGACTTTCATTTGGTTTCTGTCATTCTCCCTCCTTTCATCCTCCATCATGGCCTGTCTAAAACCTTTTTCAGACTGTTTCTGTTTTCCTAGCCTGTGCTGTGACCTCTGATGATGTGACTTTTTTCCCTTGGGCGTTCTCCTGGTTTGTTTTGCTCAGCCACTATTAACTGAGCATCCCCAAATGCCCATAGTGCTCAACTCTGCAGATCTCTCCCTAAGGCACTAAGGAACAGAAACTTCCTTCTAACAGTGAACAAGGCTAAATGAATTCATATCAGAACAGCAGCATTCTCTGAGGGTGTGGGAGAAGGAGGTGAATGAGGTCATCTCTAAAACAGATGTGAAATAAAAAGTTACTCAAGTGATAATCTCCCTCGGGGACATGAGCAGGTGGAAGGATAGATCTACGTATTTCTCAGTTGAAATTCTTTGCAATAATCACAGCTAACATTCATTGGGCATTTGCTATCTGCAGCTGTCCTGAGAGCTTTAGATGCGTGATCTCACTTCCTACTCAGCAGTCCAAAGTGGTGTTATCATTCCATTTTAGAGATAAGTAGACCAAGGCTCAGGGTAGTCAAGTCACAGTGTAGCATTTATTTTCCAAGGCAAGTCTGCACAACTACAAACCTCATGTACTTTGCCACCATGCCTCTGTGCAGCCACACTGTCCCTTTGAATTGCCTTTCACGTCACAGGCATCTTTTCCACCTGCATTCTCATTCGGTCTTCACACCCTTAGCGCCGTTCCTGTTATCCACAGGTACAAGTCATCAGTATTCCCTAGCAACACGGAGACGCTCACAATCCTGAACACTTCCTTAATGGTGGTGGAGGCATTCTTCTATTTTCAGAATGATGTCAAAGCAAACACATACTTCCTGGAACCCAACACCATGGTCCTGAAGCCCAATGAGAAGCAGGTACGGTCATATGGACACAAAGCAAGGCTTTCTCAGGAAATTTGAAGCCTTGGCACCGTTGGTATAAACGTACTTTCTTTTGACCTTTCCTTCCATCAGATATTAAACGTATGGGCCTACCCTACTTCAGTTGGTGTCTTTGAAGACAGCATTGTCTGCTGCATCAATGATAACCCAGAGCCAGCCATCTTCCAATTAAGCTGCCAGGGGATCCGCCCAGAACTGGAGTTGGAACCCAGGCAATTACATTTTGACCGGCTCTTGCTGCACAGGTCAGATTTCTAGATCATGTCAGGACTGGAATGGAATTTGAGGAGCCTTTAGTTCTAGGGAAAACAACTCATCCCGATTTACCCTGGACTCTCTTGGTTTTAGCACTGAAAGTTCTGCACCCTGGGAAACTCCTTGGTCCTGTGCAAACCAGGATAGTTAGTAAACCTATCTAGTTAACAGATTGTTAGTTCAGTGGATGAACTTCAGCAGGGCCAAGGACCCCCCCCCCAAGATCAACTACCAAAATATGCATATATCTGCGTTTCTTCAGAAGAAGAACTAACTTTCTTCAGATTCTCAAAGCAGTCTATTGCCCAAAGAGGTTATCTCAGTGAACTGACACAAGAACAGAAAATCAAACACCACATGTTCTCACTCGTAAGTGGGTGCTGAATAATGAGGACACAGGGAGGGGAACAGCACACACGGGGCCTCTTGGGGGATGGGGGAGCTAGGGGAGGGATAGCAGGGGGGACTGGGGAGGACTAACAAGAGAAATACCTAACGTAGATGTTGGGAGGATGGAGGCAGCAAACCACCATGGTACGTGTATACCTATGTAACAATCCTGCACCATGTGCACATGAACCCTAGAACTTAAAGTATAATAAAAAAATAAAAATAAAAAAGAATATTTGCTCTAGAAGTTAAAGTAAAAGCAGAACATTAGACCAAAACTAGAACTTACATATTCATTAATTGGAATTGCATTATTATTCTAAGTAGAAAAAAATGTTTACTTCTGCAGCTTCTGGGAGAGAATGTTGTTGTGACATGTATCCTGCATCCTTTAATCCCCACCACCAGGCCCCTTTTCCTGATAAGTACTGCTTAAAGAACTAAGTAATAATTAAAGTAACCAAAAGTGCTTTTTCTGACCTCCAGTGAGCCATGATCACGCCACTGCACTCCAGCCTGGCTGACAGAGCAAAACCTTGTCTCAAAAAAAAAAAAAAAGCATAGAGAGAAAAATAGTGGTTAAAAAATGAACCTTCAGTAAATAGTGGGACAATCAAGCAGTGTAACATATTTGTGATTGGAGGCCCATAAAGAAAAGAGAGAGGGAAGGAGCCAAAAATATTTGAAGAGTAGATAGAACTTTCCCAGATTTGTTGAAAAAGCAAAAACTTAGAGTTCCGAGAAGCTTAGCAAACCTTAAGCTGGATAAAATAGTTATAGCCCAAGTCTTGCCACTGAATCAGTGACTTTGGAGCCATCAATTAACCTCTCTAAGCTTAAGGGTTTTGTTTGTTTGATTGTTTGTTTGTTTTTTCGAGACAAAGTCTCATACTGTCACCCAGGCTGGAATACAGTGGTGCAATCTCAACTCACTGCAACCTTACTTCCCAGGTTCAAGTGACTCTCCTGCCTCAGCCTCCCAAGTGGCCAGGATTATGGGCATGTGCCACCACAGCCAGCTAGTGTGTGTGTGCGTGCGTGTGTGTGTGTGTGTGTGTGTGTGTATTTTAGTAGAGACACAGTTTCACCATGTTGCCCAGGCTGGTCTCAATTTCTAAGCTCAGGGAATCTGCTTACCTTAGCTGTCCAAAGTGCTGGGATTATAGGCATGAGCCACCGTGACCAGCAGGTCCAGGTTTTTTATAGGTCATCTGGGATTAATAATATCAACTCCACCTATTTTATGTAATAGATTAATAACCAAGAAAGAAAACCACATTAAGGCAAAGTTTGGTCCAACTTCTTAAAACCAGAAATAAGAGAAAATCTTGACAGCAGCCAGGAGAAAATGAAATACAGTATGACTGACTCCTCATCAGCAACAAAGCTAGAAGACAATCGAATGGCAATTTTAATGTGCTAAAGAAAAATACAGTTGACCTTTGAACAATGCAGGTTTGATCTGGGCAGGTCTGCTTATATGTGAATTTTTTTCAGTGAAACACAAATTGAAAATATGGCAGACTTAATAAAACAATTCAAAAAAGAGTTAAGAAATCTTGTTCAGCACCCACACATGAAAGAGAAACTGTGATTTTTTAAAATTATATGCTTGGCCAGGTGCGGTGGCTCACGCCTGTAATTCCAGCACTTTGGGAAGTCGAGATTGGTGGATCATGAGGTCAGGAGTTGGAGACCAGCCTAGCTAACATGGTAAACCCTCGTCTCTACTGAAAATACAAAAATTAGCCAGGTGTGGTGGCACGCACCTATAATATCCGCTACTCAAGAGGCTGAGGCAGGCGAACTGCTTGAACCCGGGAGGTGGAGGATGCAGTGAGCCGAGATCTCACCACTGCACTCCAGCCTGGTGCCTGGTGACGGAGTGAGACTCTGTCTCAAAAAAAAAAAAAAAAAAAAATCATATGCTAAGGATAATAGCCATTATCCTTAGCAAACTATAATGCAGGAACTGAAAACCAAATATCACATGTTCTCACTTAGAAGTGGGAGCTAAGTAAGAGAACCAACGAGCACAAAAAGGGGAACAACAGACACTTGGGGGTGGAGGGTAGAAGGAGGGAGAGGAGCAGAAAAACATAACTTTGGGGTATTAGGCTTAGTACCTGGGTGATGAAATCTGTACAGCAAACCCCCATGACACAAGTTTACCTATATAACAAACCTGCACACGAACCTCTGAAACTAAAAGTTTTTTAAAAAATACAAAACCACAAAATTTGAAGTGAAATTTCACTTGATCTTAGCCAAAAGGCCCAGAAGCGATTGATGTGAAATTTCAAACTTTCCTTTTGTCTCTGCAGACAGGAAGCCAGGGTAGTTCTTCTCCGCAATGTCACGCTCCTGCCCGTGGCCTGGCGGATCACCAACCTGGAGCACTTGGGTGATGATTTCACCGCGTCCATGATGCAGGGAACCATCCCCCCAAAGGCTGAGTACGGCCTGCACCTGTACTTTCAGCCCACCAAGCCTATCAACATCAGGAAGGCTATTCGGTTGGAGGTGAGGCTTCACACGTCCACTGACTTGGTTATCAAATCATGTATACATACACACACACACATACAGAGGTCTCCCTGTTACATGCTCCCATCTGATCCCCTTTTGATATCACCAGTCCACAATATCTTGCTGTGGATACACACACACACACACACACATACAGAGGTCTCCCTGTTACATGCTCCCATCTGATCCCCTTTTGATATCACCAGTCCACAATATCTTGCTGTGGATACAAATGCAAGCACCATAAAGGTGATACTGCTTATGCCTGATTTCCCAGTGCCAGGAACACAACAATCAATGTGTAAGAAAGTGAATGAAAGAATGAATGAATGAACAAATGAACAAATAATGTTGCTATACCTAGGTAAGCATCAGAGTCCTGATTTCACACTCTTAAAGCCAGACACCTATTGGATTCCTATCTTGGTAAATGTCACCCTCCACCCTGTTGCTCCCAACAGACACCTGGCTATCAGCCTTAATTCCCCATTTTCTTGATGACCTCCCTTCCATCGCAGGCCTCCAGCAAAGGTTGCTAATTCTACCTCCCAATGTGTCTTTTTATTTTTTGAGACGGGGTCTTGCCCCATCACCCAGGCTGGAGTGCAGTGGTGTGATCTCAGCTCACTGCAAACTCCTTCGCCTCCTGGGTTCAAGCGATTCTCCTATCTCAGCCTTCCAAGTAGCTGGGATGATAGGCATGTGCCACCATGCCCAGCTAATTTTTTGTCGTTTTAGTGGAGACCAGGTTTCACTGCATTAGCCAGGATGGTCTTGATTTCCTGACTTCATGATCCTCCCACCTTTTCCTCTCAAAGTACTGGATTACAGGCTGAGCCGCTGCACCATCACTTTTTATATTTTCACAACTGTTGTGACCATCTCTGTGTGTCCCAGCCAAACAGCAGCCTGATTAGGGCTCTGCACAGGCAGTATTTGCCTCTGTCAGGCCCCCAAAGTGAACTAGAATTAGCTAGAAAATCAACATTAAATCAGAAGTGCCCCAGGAATTAGTAAAAACCATCCTTAATTTGCCCAAAAAGAGTATGACAGCCCAATGCTCACAAGATTAATTAGAAAAAAAAAAAAAAAAAAAAAAAAAGAAAGCAGTTGGGCATGATGGTTCACATCTATAATCCCAACACTTTCAGAGACTGAGATGGGAGGATCGTTTGAGTTCAGGAGTTCAAGACCAGCCTGGGCAACATGGTGAAACCCCACCTCTACAAAAAAAAATACAAAACTAACTGAGCATGACAGTGTGCTCCTATATAGTCCCAGATACTCGGGATGCTGAGGTGGGAGGATGGCTTGAGCCCAGGAGGTCAAGTCTGCAGTGAGCCAAGATTGTGCTACTGCACTCCAGTCTGAGTGACAGAGTGAGAGCCTGTCACAAAATGAAAAACCACTTTCCTGTAATGTCACCTCTGAGCCCAAACTTCAGTAATGTAGCAACAATAAAAAAGACAGTCCCTTTTCCCCATTCTTGTATTGTTTATACCAGCATTCCCCAAAGAGTACTAAGAGGAGCACAAATCCTACCAAATGGTGGGTAAAGATCAAATACCCACAGGGGAATACATTTCAAAAACATTCCCTGCCATATCCCCTTTAGGATGTTACATGTTTCAGGCTCCAAGCACCTCACGGGTCTTGCTTTTACTGAAGAATTTCCCTTACCCTGGTAGGTTTTAGATGCAGAAAATCTTCTCGGTGTTGTTCAGATTGAAAATATCACGGTCTTTGCAGAGGCATACGACATCGCCTTGGACATCACCTTCCCCAAAGGTCTGCTGGGCCCTTCAAGGAAAGGATGTTTGGAAGTTGGGTCTTTTGTATCATGTATTTCTGTGTAGAGAAAGGCTAGTGTGTTGTTAGTATTACAGGGATTGGGGGTGGAGGGAGCAATTTTGATAAATAGTAATGTGAGCCCCAGAGTGATATTAGCAGCATAATTACACATAGTAATTTCTCCAACAGGAAATAGCAAGGGGGTGGTCATAGATGTACACTTTGCAGAGCTCTTTTCAGAGCAACCGTGTGACAGTAAACACCTCTCCTCTTTCCTGTATTAGTTTTCTATCACTCCCATAAAATGTCACCGTAAGCTTTCTGACTTAACACAAACATATTACCCTACAGTTCTGGAAGTCACTAGTGCAAAATGGGTTTCACTGGGCTAAAATCAAGGTGTCAGCAGGGCTGCCTTCCCTTCTGGAAGCTCTGGGGGATAATCCATTTACGTACCATTTCCAACTCCTAGAGGCTGCCGGCATTCCTCCGTCATGGTCCCCTCCCTCCACCTTCAAAGATAGCAAGGTTGGGCCAACTCCATCTCATCTTGCCTTTTCTCTGGTTCTCCCACCCTGCCTTCCTTTTTTGCTCTTAAGCCCCCTTGTGATTATATTGGGCTGACCAAGATAATTCCAAATTAATATTCCAAATGAATTATGGAAATGTCATATCGTAAGATATTATGCAGCCACTACGATCACACTTATGAGGAGTTTTTAATTATTTGGGAAATGCTTAGGATGTAACGCTAAGTAAAACAACATAAGTGTATGTGTAATATCCCAACTTTTGCAAGATTTTTTTTAAATATTGCAAGTTTTAGCTGATGGTAGACATGAAAGGCAATAAGCCTAGGATGGATGGAATCTGAAGGGAATAGCCCTGAGAGTGCATCAAGAGCAGCATCTGTTGTTTGTTTGCCCAGACTCAATTAGAAGAGGCTTTCCTAGCCACAGTGCTTTCAGAAACAAATTCCTTTAAACTGTCACCATGCGTTTTCCATGTGAACTTCAACAGGCATTTCCCCTGCTTCTCACTCTCCTGCCCGCTCACCCCTCTCTGCCCTGGCCCCTGGTCTGTGCAGGAGCTGAAGGAGGCCTGGACTTTGGGATTGTCAGGGTCACAGAGGAGGTGAAGCAGCCCCTGCAATTGAAGAACCGCGGGAAATACGAGATCGGATTCAGGTAACCGGAATCCCATCGGGTGTGCAGCCGCCAAGTCCACCGTCGGGAGGAGCGTGGTCTGGGAAACCTTTCTTATCAGTCAGTCAAGGAAATCATCATAAGAACCATCTCTGCTTTTTTGCCTTCCTTGGCTTTAAATGAATGGAATTCCACCTGCTAAGGGAGCAGAGATTTTCATGCTGTTCTCAACTCTGCAGCTTAACCGGGGCCTTTTAATGGCCTGGATGTACCCGGCCAGTTGGAAGCACAGGTGTCTGGAGGTGGAGGAAGAGACTTGGGGGAAGAGGTTGGGAGGGGGAGATTCTAGGGATGAGAAGAGGTCCCTGGGTGGAGGGAGAGACTGGAGATGGGGGGCCTGGCCTCAAGCTGTCCTGCCTACTGCCAGCTCTTATCTGTTTTATAAGGAGAACTTCTACAGCAGATTTCATATGAAGAGAGGGTTTTCTTTTTTCATTACGTTCTAAGAACCATGACATTATAGAATTCAAATGGTGGCTTGGTAGAATAGAGCTCCGGCTTGTGGTCATCCCTTGAGATTAAATATGAAACACAGAGGCTGCGTGTGATGGCTCATGCCTATAATCTCAGCACTTTGGGAGGCCAAGGCAGGCAGATTGCTTGAGCCCAGAAGTTCGAGACCAGCCTGAGCAAAATGGTGAGAACCCCATGCCTCTACAAAATACAAAAAAATAGTTTGGCGTGGTAGTCATAACATTTGTAGTCCCAGCTACTTGGGAGCCTGTGATGGGAGGATTGGAGGTTCCTCAGCAACAAAAGGGTGTCATGGGGGAGGAGGGAGGGAGACACCCCTCAGACAGGGCCACACAGCCCTTCGTGGCAGTGCCTGCACTTTTCATTCCATGGAAGGTTCTCCTTCCCCGAGAATTCACAGTTGACAAAGGGACTTTTCCCCTGTCACTTTGGAATTAGTGTTAAGCAGAATCTTGCCTGTTGGTGAGTTTTCTTTCAGATTAAGACAGGGGCATTAGCTGTGCTCTTTGAGGTTGCATGGAATGGAGTCACTCTCAGGCTGGAACAGGTGATAGAGGGTTTGTTGAAAGACTGTTCAGGGAAGTGAGGAAGCACAGGAATGCAAATAACTGGAGCATGGGGTCCATTCAGAGTCCCCCAGCAGCTCCGGGCAGCCCTCCTCTGCTTAGGTGGGAAACACCTTGGGCCTATGCCAGTGCCTCCGTCAGTCTCATGAGCCAGCTGCTTCCTGAGTTTCTTGCCTCACCTCCAGTAGGCCGTGGGCTTCCCTCCCTAGTGCCTCCATTGCAGGGCCCCTGCCCCCTCCCTGCTCTCCCTCCCCAGGTTCCCTGGTTTCTGTGTCACTGTTTGCTTTGCATGTACTGAGAGCCAGACAGACACAGACAGAGAATTCACTTAGTTGGTCCTTTTTCTGTGTCCAATGTCCCTGTTGGACAGAGATCTCCTGCAATGGCCTCTCTTGACCATGGGATAGAGTATGGCTATCTTTGCCTCAAGCATCAATTCCTGGTCCTGTCAATCCTGGCTAAGGAGAGGCAATCACAGGGTACAAAGCACAGTGGACTCTGCTGGGCATAGTGGCTAAACAGGGCTGGAGACACAGCAGGCACTCAGCCACCTAGAGTCTCCTCTCTGGTATCTTGAGTTCCCGGGATAATGACTTAGGTTGACTTTTCATTCTTGTCTTTCAGCTTTTCCGTGGACTCTGTAGGGATTTCAACACCTAATATAAATTCCATGATCTCAGTCCAGCCCAGAAAGGGTTCACTGACCCCAACAGAAAAACCCACAAATGTCCAAGTTTTCTTCCGTGCGAAAAAAGAAGTGAAGATCGAGCACCAGCCTATTCTGCGCTGTCAGGTAAGAGAGCTGCAAAGGGAGGGGCTGCCTTGATGGCAGGATCGTTGGACCCCTGTTGCAAAGGACGATACCTGGCCTAATCCATGCTCCAGGGGGAAAAAAGGAGGCCTGGCCCGGGGGGCACCCAGATAGGATACACCGGGGGTTGGTCCTAACTAGCAGGCAAAGTCATCAGAAATAGAGCCAGAGAGGAAATGTGCCCCCAAGTCTCTGGGGAGCATCAGAGGCAGGGAAGCTGAGTCCCATCATCAAGTGCAAAGGATGAGCAGGGAACTGAAAACAGGAGGAAAAGCTGACTACGTTGACCCTTGACACAGCAAGCTCTGTTTTAGTGTTTGCTAATATCATTGTTGATGCACTAATACAAAGATAATGAAATAAAGAACATGGCTTCATGTCAATCATGAAAATAGGGAACGGGGTAGATAATCACGGGAATTTTGTAGCTACAGCAGTGGCTGACTTGCTAATTATTCTTCCCTTTCTAGATTATTGAGCCCAGTATTTCAGAAGGAGGTGAGATCATTGCCAGCATCCCAATTAAGTTTTCTGTGAATGCAGTATATTCCAAATACAACATCAGCCCCTCCTCCATCATCAACTTTGGAGCTTTGATCTGTGGCGCCCGTAAAAGCACCACCTTCACCATAGAAAATCAAGGTGTTACTGACTTCAAGTTCACCCTCTATAGGATGACAGGGGAGAGCCCCATTCATCAAAAGAAAGCGTAAGACCAGTATTTACTTAACTCAGTTCACTCCCTTATTAATTTGTGCTTTATATTTTGTAAAGAGCTTTGGTATATCTTATTTAAATTCACCCAATTCCCTTTCATGGTGAGGTCACTAAGATTTATCAATGGCTCATTTAGATTATGCACAAAAGCTGGGCATGGAAGCTTACACCTGTAATCCCAGCACTTTGGGAGGCCGAGGGGGGTGGATCACCTGAGGTCAGGAGTTCAAGACCATCCTGGCCAACATGGTGAAACCCCGTCTCTACTAAAAACACAAAAATTAGATGGACATGGTGGTGCACGCCTGTAATCCCATGCTAGGGAGGCTGAGGCAGGAGAATTGCTTGAACCCAGGAGGCAGAGGTTGCAGTGAGCCAAGATCGCACCACTGTACTCCAGCCTGGGCAACAGAGTGAGACTCCGTCTTACAAAAAAAAAAAATTATACAGGAAATTACCAGTGGATCTTAGTTGTGAGCCCACAAACCTTCTGACTCTAGGTTTCATCGATTTTCTGTAGAATATATCATAAATTTTAGTTGAACAAACATAGTCTTCTGCCTGGAATTTTGTCTGTTGTCCTGGTGCTTCTGGGGTGCTGAAGGACTTATTAGATCATTGTCCTATGTGTCATTCTGTACAATGCCAAGAGATTATTATCACAGCAAGATAAATCAAAAGAAACTATAGCTGTGCTTCAGGTGGGACTGCTCTGGAAGCTCGGAAGAGAGGAAGTGCGGTGATGCCTTCAGCCCACCAGGGACTGAGTTTGTTATTGCCTGTTATTGTTATTGCTTTCTTCCCATTAAGGTAGCTTCACCATCACAAAGCTCCTTAATAGTTGTTCCAACAGTAAAATGCCATGTTCTTCAATAGGAGGCTGTCAATCAATTCACCCACAACAATTTGTCTTGTGAGTGCTTTTGGCTTCCATTGGGCTGTCATACTTTTTGGGGCAAATTAAGGATGGTTTTTACTAATTCCTGAGGCACTTCTGATTTAATGTTGATTTTCTAGCTAATTCTTTTAAATTAGATGTATGGCTTTACATTGTTTGTAGTTGTTTTATATTTTTGTAGCTATTCTTTTCTGTCTTGGCAAAGTTTGAACATTTTTTAAAATGTAGAGTTAAATTCTTTAAAGTCCCTTTCTTCTTAATTTAATTTCAACCAAAATTTTTTATAATTTATTTTATAACAATGTAATAATGTCTACAATGATTATAACTTAATTCTATTTTGCTTTAAGTTGTTTTTTATTTACTTTTCATTTTAGCATGCACCAGTTCACGCTAAACGCACAAAAGGCGGTTGAACTTCAGGTGTTCTGGTCATTAAGCAAGTGAATGCTTGCATATATAAAATTCTCAAAAATTTAAGTTGCATTTCAGATACATTTGAACATTTTAGGTGAACTGGTCTCTAGGCAAACTAACTATTGGATAAACTAATTTCAAGGCAAGTGAACAATTACAAAGACCTATATTTGGACTACTGCTTATACTAAACCTTAAAAAGTCATGACTATAAATGTGAAGAAGAGAACAGAGCTTAATTTATTTGCCACTTCATTTTTTTAAATGAGATTAAGTGAAGTATTTGACATCCACAAGTAATTTTCCACACACTGCTTTCCAGTGAACTCAAGTAGGCATTTAAAAATTGCTGTTTTCTTGCAGTAATTTTCAGTGTCCCTATCAATCATATTTAATAAGTGTAAGCACTGCCTAGCTTCCTTGCAATTGTTAAATGAGTTTGGTCAGTGATTAACTAGCTAACTGTGCCATTCCAATATCCTCTTGGGCAAAAAGGGACCCTTTCTCCCATTCCTAAAACAAAGGGCGTTACAAACAGACAGACAGGTGATGTCTTACCCCCCACACCCTGCAACCTAAGGGTACACTCTTGCTTCTTTAATCAGAGTCAGCCACATCAGACGTGCAAGATCCCGAGAAAGTGAGAGCTTCTACAAAACTGGCTCTTCCAAGGCAGCCAAGTTCTCTGATGCAATTCAGAAGGAAGTGATCAGCACAGGCCAGGTGCGTATCCTTTTCCTTGTTCATACAGATACCCAGGAAGGCCATCTCCCAATTAGTCCTTGCCACCAATCACTTGCCTAGGGTAATAGGATTTGAATCCATCATGGCAGAAATAGGAAACAAATATACTGAAGTGTCACTTTCATTTGAAGCTAATACGTTATTACCTTTAATTTGGATATTCTCTTTTGCTATAAAACCTTCATTGGCTCGCCATTGCCTTAAAACTGTTTCAACTCTTCATATGTATTTTAATCAAAAATAAGAAAGAGAAGCCCTTTCAAACAGGCTTAAATAAAAGAAGATTTGAGGATTTCCACTTCCGGTAAAATCAACTAGATGTACTTTTTCCTATTCTTCCCAACTAAGTACCACTAAGAACCCTAGACATTGTGTATAAAACAGACTTCAGACTCTGAAAGGTAGAGAGAAGAAACCAGACCAGCCCCGGGGTCTTTGGGACCCAAGGAACATCAAGGCGGTGAGTTCCCATGTTTTCTTTTTGCCTCATATCTCCCAGACTGGGTGCTGAAGCAGCCAGCAACCCTAAAACATCAACAGACACAGACTAAAACCAAGCCCCAACAGAAGCCTACTCCTACTTTCTTTCTGCCTTTCTAGGTTGCCCCTAGAAAGACAGAAAACTTCTTGATAGTAACCTAAAGACAACAGTTAACCTAGAGAGACAGAAAACTTCTAGATAATAACTGTTCAGCTCCAGCCAAACACCTAAGAAAAATATCTGGCCCCAAGCCACCCCTGCTAGCAAAGGCTAAATAGAGAGTCTAGACTCCACCCTCTCCAAGCTGTCTTGAGGTGCCCCACCTACTTGCCAGGGTTGCGTCAGAGAAGGTCGAGTAGGAAGTCAAGACTTTGATTCCTATGGGTGGTAACAACAAGGGAAAAACATGATAAGCCATAATGAAGGTAAATTCAGTAGACCTTACTTCTCTTCCTAGGTTTTCTAAATTTTCTTTGTCAACGGAAGTAAACCTATAATGCTGTATGATAAGGTTTTAAATGGATGTAGAGGAGATATTTTAGACAAACAGGGACAGAGGAAAGAATCAGTGAACTTGAAGATAGACATTAAGAATTCCCTATAAAAATAACTGAAGGTCCCCCACCACCTCCTTATAAAAAATAAAAATAAAAAGTAAAAAAATAAAAAAAAAAAACGGGAGGTCCCCCACCACCTTCACTGCTGTTTGTGGAGACACCACATGGGGAACATTGACATCCACCTCACCTAGTGGTAATGAAACATTCCCCCGTCCCCTGCTGGAATGGTACCAGAGGACCCCTTCATCTCCCATGGCATCAGCAGAACAGTAGCAGGCACTCACCTGTCCCCAGCAGGGAGGTATCAGTTGAGGACTAGTGGAGTGCTGGAACACCCACCCCTGCCAAGCAAGAATGAGTCTGAGTGAGAATCTGGACTACTGCCCCCTCCTGGCAGTAGCTCATCAGTGCATTTCCTTCCCCTGCCAGGGTAGTGCCAAAGAAAGCCAGCTGAAACCGAGTCTCATAGCATAACACCCGAAATGTCCAGATTTCAACTGAAAATCACTCATCATACCAAGAACCAGGAAGAATCAAACTGAAGGAAAATAGATAAATGCTAGATAACACTGAGATGACAGAGGTGTCAGAATTGGCTGAAAATGTTTCAGTGAGCAATTATAAGCATTCCTGGAAAATTTTTTAAATAGCACATCTCAGCAAAGAAAGAAGATGCAGAGAAGAAGCAAATGGAAATTCTGGAAATGAAAATAAATAACCAAACTTAGAACTCCATGGATGGGGTCAACAACAGAGAGGGGACGGAGGAAAGAATCAGTGAGTTGAAGACAGACCATAGGGATTCCTGTGTTAGTTTCACATTGTTCTCACAACAAATCACTTCAAATTTAGAAGCTCAAAATAATACACAATTTTTTATCTTATAGTTCTGTAGGTCAGAGTGCTAAAATCAAGGTGTTGGCAGGGCTGTATTCTTTTCTGGAGACACCAGGAAATAATCCTTTTCATTGTTTTTCCAGCTTTTAGAGGCAACCCACATTCCTTGGCTTGTAGTCCCCTCCTGTTATCCTCAAAGCCAGCAACAGGGGGTCGGATCCTTCTCACATCACATTACTCTAACCTCCTCCATAATCATATCTCCTTCTAACCCTCTTCTCTTTCTAAGGACCCTTGTGATTACATTGGGCTCATTATAATCCAGAATAATCTCTTCATCACAAGATTCTTAGTATAATCATGTCAACCAAGTCCTTTGCTGTGTAACGTAACATATTCACAGGTTCCAGAGATTAAGATGTGGACATCTTTGGGAGGCCATTCTTCTGCCCAGTCTAAACAAAAGAGAGAAAGTAGACTCTATTTTGAAACTCTTGAAGGTCTTTTTGAGTCTACTGAGAAAAAATGAATAGATGCTCAGGGATCTGCAGAACCATAACAAAAGATCTAATGCTCTTGTCATTGGAGTTCCAGAAAGAGTTACAAAAGGGGACTGAAAAGGTACTCAAAGGAATAATGACAGAAAACTTTTCAAATTCGACAAAAGATATAAACTTACAGACTCAAAAATCTGAGTAAACCCAAATAGGAGAAAACAAAAGAAACCCATGCTAACACACATCATACTTACACTTCTGAAAATTTTTAAAAATTTAAAAATCTTGCACACATCAAGAGAGAAATGAACCTTGAATGACAGCAGATTCCTTACAAAAACCATAGAGACCCAAAAGAAAGAGGCACAATATTTTCAAGTGTAGAGAACCAATAATGGTGAACCCAGAATCTTATATCCAGCAAAAATATTTCTCAGGAATAAATGGAAAATTGACTTTCTCAAATGAAACAAAGCTAAAAGAATTTGTCACCAGTAGATTTATCCCAAAAGAATGGCTACAGGAAGTTCTTTAAACAGAAAGTAAATAACGAAGTAATTGTAGAACATCAACAAGGAGGAAAAAATAATGGTAAGCAATAATGTAGGTAAATTCAGTAGATCTTACTTCTCTTCCTGGGTTTTCTAAATTATCTTTGTCAATGGAAGCAACCCTATAAGGCTGCCTGATATGGTTTTAAATGGATGTAGGGGAAATATATTAGAGAGGAGACAGGGGAAAGAATTAATGGACTTGAAGACAGACAATAAGAATTCCTCATAAAAAGCAGGTGAATGAGCAGTTGTTAAGCAAGATGGCAAATACTATAATTGAGGTGCATGTACATGGATAGACTCTAGAAAGATGGAAGAATGAAGTCTTGCTCTTCCTGGTAGCTATGTAGAGTCATTGAAGGCTTCACAGAGGAGGAGGTGCTTGATTGGTGTATCAGAATCATGTTTAGCTGCAGATAGCAGAAAATCCAAAGTTAGTGGTTTAAACAAATACAGTGTATATATAAATAGGGTAGGCAGTTGCTGGTGTCAGTTTAATAGTTTGTTGTTATTTGTGATTCTCTTGGCCTTTCCCTCATGGTTACAAGACGGCTGCTGCAGCTCCAGCCACCACCTCTACATTGAAGGCAATGACAGAAGTAGGTACCCTGCACTCTATGAACACAAATAATTATTGCTTGAAGTGAACTGGGTTTTGTACATGTTGGTTTTTAGGTCTTTTCAAGTGGTTTCCTCTTGTCAAGGAAAGGGTATTTTATTAGCATACATAATTTTCTACATATATTTCTGTAACTCTCATCTCTTCTAGAGACTTTTTTTCCTTCTTTGCCTACATATCTTCTCAGCCTTCAGTGAAACAGCCTCTCCAGGACTCTGCCTTTCGGTTTCAATGAACTTGTCCTCTCCTCTACGTTGGCAGCTTATTTTCATGGTCACAGCCGGGATCTGGCCTCACAGGAAACTGAGGTGCTTCTGAATCCTTGACTTCCAAGACCTCTTTCTCTGACCGCTTTCCTTTCTTCTAGCCTTCTCCACCTCAGCTCTTTGCCCTCACTATAACTTGCTCCTTGCTCTTTTGAGACAGTATCCTGCTATTTTCTTACTTCTCTCCAACCTTCTCCTCTGTCAGGATGGTTTATCTGGGGATCTCAGTGCCCACGACATCTCCTAGCACATAGTAGGTATTCAGAGTAAGTAGTGAACAAGTTAGTTGATAGCTTCCATGTATGTCTGCGCAGTCACACTGCACAATGCTAGGGGCTCGTCCACACAGATGCCTGTGTGAAGAGTGCCCCCTAGAGCTGTGCAGTGCACCACTGACCCAGCCACTTGCAGCGGCCATAGTAAGAACTTACAGACGTTCCGAATACCCGGAAGAATGCAGAGTCCGTGTCTGAGCATTGTCAGAACAGACCTCTTCCAAATACAGCATTGCTAGAGAATATGCCTGAAGGGGTTTAGTGAGATCGAGGGACAGGCCACTGGAAAGAGTGCATCTCCGAGGGGAAGAGGAGCAGAATTGGGTTGAAAGTTCATCAGTAACAAAGTCCCCACCTACCACCTCACCACTGTGATAGATTCCAGGCATGGTACACTAGGTGCCCTAAAGAGAGAGAACATAAATGAGACTGCCCTTGACAGCTTTCTAAAAATGAGAAAAAGGAAGAAAGCTCATGAGTACCACAGGCATGCATGCTGACTATGAAGCAGAATACCATGCCTCAGCATCAGTCCCTGGGAAGGGAATTCCATGCGCCAGCTACCAATCCCAGGAGAGGATTCTAAACCCTTTGCCAATATTGTGCACTGGTATCACTCCCAGGGGGGACCTCTAACCACCTCACCAGTGTCTGCTGGGGTTCCTAGATCTGGCAGGAGGTCCTTCACAAACCCCAGCTGCCAGAGGTTTTGCTCAAATCCAAGTGCCAGGGTATGGGTCCAGTGCGACAGAACACTCACACAAGTCACGCAAAGCAAGTGATCAGATAGGTGTCGAAAACCAATAGAAGCCTAGTATTCATGGACAGCTGGTCTCCCAAGGCTCAAGAAAGCTGCCTGGGCCAAATGAAGTCCCGTCTATGCATGCCCCACTTCACATTGCAGCTGAAAGGCACCAAAAGCATTCGGTCCCGGGGTTTTGTGTTTCAGAGGAAACGTAGATCTCTGAGGTGAAACATTGCAAGACATCCTGTTCTAGGAGGGATGAGAACAGAGCCTGGACTGTTCCAGACCCTTCCCTTATCTCAGGCCACTGCATTTTCAGCACATTCTACAGTCATCCGGAAAACTACAAGCAGGAGAGAGAAGAGCCGGGACATCTAAGGATTGCACCAACATCCTGTTTTGTGTTGTTTTTAGCAGTAATTCTATACCAGATGCTACGTTACATGCTTCACCCCTATTCTTTCATTTAAACCTCCAGCAATCTCTGGGATCGGGGCTTTAGCTCCGTTTTATAGATAAATAAACTGAGACTCAGAGAAGTCATTCGTTCAAGGTCAAACAGTCAATATTTAGCAGGGCTGGGATTCAAACCCAGGTGTATCTCACTCAAAAGCCCATAACCATACCCACTACTCCATTCTGCACCCTCTGCTTCAAGATACCCAGCTGAATCAGTGCTATATGATGTGGAGTCTGTCTGTTCCTTTAAGCCCTTAGTTCAAACACAGTTGGTCTGAAGGCATTTACATGGAAGGAAGTACTGAGAGAGCCTATCCCTGAAGACCACGCCCACCCCACCACCCATCCCAGTCCCTCTGTCCCTCTAGGAAGAGGAGTGAGGGCCCAGAGTGCGGCTGTGAGAAGAAACCCCACATGTCCCCCTCTCCACACCATCTCCCAGCTCTCAGTCTGGCTGTCACTCACTCTGCCACCAAGCTGCCTTCCCTCCCACCCTTGTTCTGCAGGCCCGCTTCTCCCATGGCATGTTCACCGTGTACCCCTTGTTTGGCTCCATCCCTGCCGGAGGACAGCAGGTCCTCAATGTTGACTGTGTGGCTGACCCCGTGGGAAGATGTGAGGAGTTTATAGCCATCGATATCTCCGGCCGAGACCCTACAGACCAGCCTACCGGCATTCCTTACACCCTGCTGGCTGAAGCCTGTCTCCCAGGTACTGACCACTCATACTGAACAACATCACTTAAAAGACATTCATCTGAGACCCGGTGCGGTGGCTCATGCCTGTAATCCCAGCACTTTAGGAGGCCGAGGTGGGTGGATCATCTGAGGTCAGGAGTTTAAGACCAGCCTGGCCAACATGGCAAAACCCCATCTCTACTAAAAATACAAAAAATTAGCTGGGTGCAGTGGCACATGCCTGTAATCCCAGCTACTGGGGAGGCTGAGGTAGGAGAATCGCTTGAATCCAGGAGGTGGAGTCTGCAGTGAGCTGAGATCACGCCACTGTACTCCAGCCTGGGCGACAGAGAGAGTCCATCGCAAAAATTAATAAATAAATAAATAACCTTCATTTGTAACACCTCTACCTCTTTCTTGCAAATTTTTCCAAAGATGTCTGGCAGACATGGCTGGACTGCTTCCTTTGGGGTCCTAGACCTTCCTCTAGTGTCTTCAGCTGTATTTCTCCAGGGCATGCAAGTCTAAAGGGGGAGGTACAGCTTTACACTCCCAGGAGGCTGGTCCTGGGTTCTCAGATGAATAATCTGTCTGAGAATCATGATGGGATGGGCTGTGGCACAGGACCCAGCACCATTGAGTCCCACTCATGGCCAGGTCACTCCCATGAACAAATGAGGTGGGAGGATTGCTTGGGCCCAGGAGGTCGAGGCTGCAGTGAGCCGTGATCATGCCACAGCACTCCAACGTGAGTGACAGAGCAATGTTCAGTAACTGAGCATGCAAAATCTGTAACCCCGCAGGACTGCAGATGAGGTGCAAAGAGAACGCCTCACACTTTGACCATAGGATCCCTGGAGCCTTGAAGCAAAGTGGCCCAGTTGCCCCCTTCCCTCCATAGCCCACCCTAGACCTTGGATCTTACCATTGGGAGAAAAACGCTCACTGGAGTGTGGCAACCAGCAAGGACAGTACAGAAGAGGAAGACAAGACAGAGTGTTTCCCATCCCTCACACCCCCTTGCATGACTTCCCCTGTTTGTCCTCTGTGGTTCTCCTTTGTGAGAATCCAAAGCTCCAAATTAGGAATTACAGAGCCAGAATCCAGTGATCAGGCAGCATCTCACAGTCTTCCCTTCACTCTCCAGCCTTTGTGACCGAAAACAATGCCTTGATATTTGAAGAGCACCAGATATGTACCAGCGCCAACCTGTACCACATCCTGCAGACCATAGAGAGTGGGGGGCTCTTTGTGGAGGACGAGAACAAGTTCATCTTTTGCAATGTCCTGGTAGGCCGCCAAGCCAAGGCTCGGTTCAAGATCAGCAATGTGGGAAAGATTGCCTGTGATGTCAACGTTGTAGTCAGGCCTATCTCCAATAAGGTAAGACACTCCCAATGGCCCTGGCCCACCGTGGTTGGCATAAAGCTGGAAAAAGGGCCCTCAGCAGCATCTGCTCTGGAGCCTGTATGGCTGAGTGGGAATTATCTGGGGCTTAGGCCCTGCTGGAAGTTTTGTGAAGTAACTGGGGGCTTTCCCCTAGGCCACTGGTGATACATCTGTCCCAGTGGGTGTCTCCACTGGGTACCTTTGTGATAAATGGGTACGCATGAATGAGCAACCCTCATTCCTCCATTAAATGCTCACCATGTGCCTAGAATAGACAAAGCATGGTGGGTAGAGGCTAAGGTGAGCACCAGCTCCAGACAAGCCTGCCTCCAGCTGCATATTCTGCTGGTAAGGGAGATTTGGGGCCGTGAGATTCTAAGGATAGGGTGAAATTGTGAGCATTTTTGGCCCTCCCCATGTGACAAGCACTGTGCTAAGTGATTTATATTTACTGCCTCCTTTCGCCCTGACAACCACTTTTCCAACTTTGTATTATTATCCCAATTCTACAGTTAGGGAAACTGAGGCTTAGAAAGACTAAACCCTTCCCCTAGGTCCCAGAGCCTGGAAATATAGGACTGGGCTTAAAGCCAAGCTTCATCCACAACAAGATAAAATAATGGTCTATCTCAGGGGTCTGCCAGACTCAAAACTGCCTTTTCTCTCTGAGTCAGATCATACCTTTTTTCACAACAGAATAGAAAATTCGTGATACCAAGAGAGGTCTTAATCAATGGGTTTCTGTGAACCTTAATTTCCAATCCAATGTGCAGCCAATACTCCCTAGTCTTATTTCAGCTGCTTCAGTTCTCTGCCTGAAAGTAGAATCTGGACCCAAGAGGTCTTCAGGCCCTAGAGCTGGCATTGTTCACAGCTCAGGGTGGTAGGGAGGTCACCAGGGGTGTTGGTATCAGCCTAGAGTTACAAATGGAGTGTGCATTCCTGGGGGATGTCAACACAGAGGGGTAGGGTTGGGGAGACTACACAATCCCTTTTAGGATTTCCCTCAGGCCCTGGTGACACCAAGTCATCATTATTCTCTGATCTTATTTGGGATACTAAGGGACAACTTTCTCCCTATTCTGTACTAAAAACATAAAAAGCGAGCAAGACTGACTTTTTTTTTCTTTTTTTTTTTGAGGCAGAGTCTCACTCTCATGGCCCAGGCTGGAGTGCAATGGCACCATCATGGCTCACTGCAGCCTCGATTTTTTGGGCTCAAGTGATCCTCCCACCCCAGCCTCCTAAGTAGCTGGGACTATAGACACTCACCAACATTCCTGGCTAGTTTTTATATTTTTTGTAGAGATGGGGTTTCATCATGTTGGCCAGGCTGATCTCGATCTCCTGGGCTCAAATGATTCTCCCACCTCAGCCTCCCAAAGTGCTAGAATAGCAGGAGTGAGCCACCACACCCAGCTGCAAGCCTGATTTCTAAAGAGAGACTTTATAAGGGGATTTGCAGACATCACATGTTCTCCTCCACCCTAGCTCACAAACTTGAAGGCTATCCCTTGGAAAAAGCAAAGATAAACCTGAGTGCCTTCAGTTTAAGAACAAGAGGGAATAGTCAGTCTTGAAACCCACCTACTTGCCATGAGAATGAAAATCCTTTTAAGGCCATGCCAGGGCTCCCTACACTCCTAAAACACGGCCACAAGATAGGAACAGATAAAGTGCTATGGGAAGTTGTCCTAGCCAAGGCTCTTGGAGTTACAGGGAGCAGAAACCCTCTCAGATTAGCCCAAATAAAGCAAGGCTTACTGCAGTGAATTGGACACCTCAGACACAGGTCAGAACACATCACGTGGCCGGGACTCCTTGGGACTGGCACCATCATCCGAAGTCCATCCTTTAGAAGACCAGTGGATGCTCTGTCCATCTCTCAGGGGCCACATGTCTCTCTCACAGGGTTTCCATTGCTCCATTCTCTCATCCAGCCTTCTCATTTTCCATGTGATTCAGACAGCTCCCAGCTCAGCTCCACATTTTAACAACCAGCACCAGCCCGGCACAGTGGCTCTCACCTGTAATCCTAGCCCTATGGGAGGCTGAGGCAGGCAGATCACTTGAGCCCAGGAGTTTGAGACCAGCCTGGGAAACATGGCAAAACCCCATCTATATTTTTTTTTTAATTAGCTGGGCATACTGGCACACACCTGTAGACCCAGCTACTCGGGAGGCTGAGGTGGGAGGATTGCTTGGGCCCAGGAGGTTGAGGATGCAGTGAGCTTTGATCATGCCACTGCACTCCAACATGAGTGGCAGAGCAAGATCTTGCCTCAAAAAGAATTTAAATACCAACCAACACCAATCTTTGGGCATCCCAATTTAGTTAACGGGGTGGGGTAGCAGGGAGAATATCTGACTTCCTGGCTTAGTTCATCTATTTGAGTCAAAAATCATAGGCCTAGCCAAATCCAGCCAGGCATCATTAAGAGATGGGTCCCAGGCTGCTCCCTCCAGGGCCCCTGACCCTACAGGCAGTGGAGCATGTCCACCACCGCATTTAGATGAGGCAGTTGGGGGAGCTCCTGAAAATGAGGAGCAAGCCTAATGAGAATGCAAAGGCGCTGACACACTCTGGTCTCTGCCCCCATCACCAGCCCTATGCCCGCATCGTCGACATTTTTGAAGTGGAACCCAACAAGATGTGCATTGCCAGTCATTCCCATGCCTTTGCCACAGTGTCCTTCACCCCGCAGATCATGCAGAACTACCAGTGCATCTTTGAGGCTACCTTGGATGGCTTGCCCAGGTACCAGCTCCCAGCTCCCTCTCCTGCAGCAGGGCTACAGGCCACACTCCCCACGGAGTGTCATTCCCACCATGCCAGGCTGACAGGCTGCAATCTTCCTGTTCCCTGTAGCACCCTGGCCAAGAGCCGAGGCCTTGTGTTTGACATCGCTGGTGAGGGGAACCTCCCTCGAGTGACGGTTGTACGGCCAGTTCTTCATAACCAATATGGAAACCCCTTGCTCCTCTTTAAGAGGCTTCTGCTTGGTCGTTCAGAGAAGCTACCTCTCATCCTCAAGAACAATGGCATCCTCCCTGCCCAGGTAATACTCGAGTGTGAAGCATGAGGCTGAAAGGGAGAAGAATCCAAAAGTTACACTCTGCCATGCCTAATGTAGGAGGACTTCTCTGTTGATCCACATACATTAACCTATGTGTCAGGGGCATGCGGAGGGGAATCTGGCATGGTGTTTGTCCTCAAGGAAAGTAGGAAACTGGATTCTACAATATATCATTACTGTCCAAGGTAGTATGCAGTGATGTGCACCAAGCTGAGTGGGTAGGGTTAGGGGTATTCTTAATATCTTCTTTATTTTTAATTGTTTTCTATAATGAACACTACATTTGTAATGAGGATAAGATGATAAAAGAAATTTCAGTAGGGGTGAGAGATTCAACATCTAAATGTGTTTTGATTCACTGATTACATTATAGTTTCATTTTTACCAAAAAAAAAAAGTGATGTACTGCACTCTACAAGGGACTGTAAGACTTTTGAAAAAGATCTATTCCCATCTAGATGATAAAGAGAAAATTCACTCTAAATGACATTTGAATGGGGCTCTTTGAAGGAGTTGGGTTTCAGCAAGTGGGCCTTTGGCAGTCCGTGCAAACCAGAAAGAGGGCGAAAGCTTCAAAGGTGCAAAAGCCAAAAAAAAAAAGAAAAAGCGCAAGCTACGGCAGGATCTAGTAAGCACCCAGCTTCATAAGAGCATAGGTATAGATAGAAGAGCAAAGAAGATAAAAATGGAAGCATACAGATATGGAGCAACTTGTGGAAGGCCTGGGATTCTCTAAATATTTTAAACCTTACTATTGTTCTTGCTGCTGTTGTTCTTATTGTTTATACATTTATGGCTCAGTTAGGTTTACTCATTTATTAATAATTTTTATTGCTGGGTCTCCAATTTTCCATCTGTATCAGTCAGTTCTTATGCTACCGATAAAGACATACCTGAGGCTGGGTAATTTATAAAGAAAAAAGAGGTTTAATTGACTCACAGTTCCACATGGCTGGGGAGGCCTCACTATCATGGTGGAAGGCAAAGGAGGAGAAAGACATGATTTACATGGTGGCAGACAAGAGGGATTGCGCAGGGGAACTCTCATTTATAAAACCATCAGATCTCATGAGACTTATTCACTATCACGAGAACAGCCTGGGAAAGACTCGCCCCATGATTCAATTACCTTCCACCAGGTCCCTTTCATGACACATGGGCGTTATGGGAGCTACAATTCAAGATGAGATTTGAGTGGGGACATAGCCAAACCATATCATCATCTTACGCCCTTTTCCTACCAACTGAAGAATACTCTTTAGTATTTGCTTAATGTGAGTCTGCTGGTGGCGAAGTGTCTATTTCTCCTTCATTTTTTAAATTATTATTCTTTAAGTTCTGGGGTATATGTGCAGATCTTGCAGGATTGTTGCATAGGTATACACATGCCATGGTGGTTTGCTGCCTCCATTCTCCTGTCACCTACATTAGGTATTTCTACTATTGTTATCCCTCCCTAATCTCCCCACCTCCTGCTATCCCTCCCCTAGCCCCCCACCTCGCAATAGACCCCAGTGTGTGATGTTCCCCTCCCTGTATCCATGTGTTCTCATTGTTCAACACCCGCCTATGAGTGAGAACATGTGGTGTTTGGTTTTCTGTTCTTGTGTCAGTTTGCTGAGAATGATGGTTTCCAGATTCATCCATGTCCCTACAAAGGACATGAACTCTTTGTTTTTTATGGCCGCATAGTATTCCATGGTGTATATGTGCCACATTTTCCTTTTCCAGTCTGTCATCGATGGGCATTTGGGTTGGTTCCAGGTCTTTGCTATTGTAAACAGTAGGCACAATAACTTTTTGGGGTCCTGCCCCAAACCCAGCACAGTATCTCGCCCCAGACTCAAAGCCTATGAGCAGCCTGTAAGCCTAGCACTCAGTCCTGCTTTCCTTCTGCCAGCTGCATGTTGACCTACAGGATGAACTAGGAGTCTTCTCCCTGAAGGGGAGGCCCAGCACCTCGTACATTTACATCACAGAGGAAAACAAGCCACATGAGAAAGGTAAGTGTGGGGAAGGTGCTTCTAGAGCGCAATGGATCTCAGTAGCTATTTCTATAGGGGATCACTCAGGGCCCAGCCAGAGAGGAATGCCCATTCTCATCACCACTGGCCTCTAGCTAAGGCTCGTTCCCATTTTAGGGTTAGTTTCCCTTCAACTGGGGTCTTTATGGATACACACTTCTTGAAACTGGTTCTAAATCATAACTTCTCTCTTCTTTTTGCAGCAAAGAAAGCTCACACAGCTTCCTTGGTTGTTTCTCCTGGAGATACAGCTGAATTTGATGTCTTTTTCCACTCCCAGAAGGTTGGGAGGGTGAAAGGAATCATCCACTTGTCAGTGATCAACAACCAGTATGAGGAGACCATCATCCACATTGTGGGAGAGGGCTATGAGGATGACATCACGTTGGACAACATCCACGGGCTGGTGGCATCCGCCAATCAGGAAGGCATAAGTATCTCTGAGTTCACAGAGATCCTCGAGGACAATGATATGGAAGACTTGGTGGCAGGTGAGAGAAGCAGTAGTGAGGTGTTGACAAGTGTTGCTATTGGGTCATTTGTTTTAAACAAGAGTGAAATTTACATAACAGGCTGGTTAGCTCCCTGAGAATTTAGGACTGACTCCCCTCACTCACTGTCTCACTCTCCTCACTGAACCGTGGCTTGCCTTGCTCAGTCATGGCAACCATCCTTCCATTTATTCATGTGTTCACTTGAGGAACATGTATGGTGCACCAAGTACATGTTCCAGGCATGCTGATCCCTAGAGTTTCAAAATTAACAAGGAAGTCTCTACTCTTAAGGAGCTTATAGTTTGATATTCAAATTCCAGTTCAACTAACAGGTAAATAAATGCCTTGCAGTTTTTCCTGTCTACATTTATTAGCTGGCTTGTGTGGGCAATGTCAATCTTGTTTAATTAGAGAGAGTATAGGTTTGGGCCATCTCTAGAACATCTGCACAGCCTCACTACTCAGTGAGCAGTTTGAGAACCTGTAGCATCAGCATTACCTGGGAGCTTGTTATAACTAGGGGTTTCAGACCTGCCCTGACCTACTGAATCAGAATCCACATTTTAAGATCCCACGTGATATGTGTTTATACTAAAGCTTAAGAATTGTTGTGCTACAGTCTATCAAGCACTGAAGCTTCATTTAGTTGACATTTTTGGGGTTGGAAAAATTTACTTCATTGTTATCGAAAAGCATTGGTTAAGTGCCCTAATTATATGGCTGGTTGCTAAAAAGTGAGTTATAAACAGAGCCCCACAATTTTTCTAGAAGCTTAATTACAGTCCTAGAATGTACCATTAGGTGGTCTACACAACATGAGTTGAGATCAACACTCCTCATATACCTGGTGTTTCATCCCTGTTTGAGGCTGCAGAGTGACATCTCTCTTATCAAGGATCAAGCAGGAGCCAGCAGTGAATCTAAGTTCAGAACTCAGATTTCATGCCCATAATAAGATTGCCATAGTAAGCCAATTAGAATAAAAGAGTCCCCAATAAATTGGAATTTCAGTTAAACTATGAGTAATTTTTAGTATATGTAATCCCAAACATGGAATGGGATATACTTATCGTAAAAATTATTCATTACTTATCTGTAATTCAAATTTAAATGGTACTCCTGTATTTTATCTGGCAATCCCAATCCTTTATAGTATTGTCTCACCAAACAAATGGAGTTGGGGTCTATTTTCTTTTGTACAAATGGAAGTGAGGGCTAAGGTGGGTGAATGGATGATAGATAGATGGATGGAAGGATAAATGGATGGATGGGTGGGTGGATGATGGACAAATGAGCGGATGATGATGGGTACATAGCTGAGTGTGTAGGTGGATGATGGGTGAGTGGGTAGGTAGATGACAGATGAATGAGTGGGTGGATGGGTGGATGATGGATAGATGCATGGGTGGATGGATGATGGATATATGGGTGGATGGGTGGGTAGATGGATGGATGGATGGATGGGTGATGGATGGATGGGTGATGGATGGATGGGCAAGTGAGTAGGTGGATGGTGGATGGAAACGTGGTTGATGGATGGATGGGAGGGTGGATAATGGATAGATGGATGGATGGGGAGATGATGGGTGGGTGGATAGGTCAATGATGGTTAGGTGGATGATGGATGGGTGGATGATGGATAGGTGGAAGAGTGGATAATGGATGGATGGATGGATGGATGGGTGAATAGATGATGGACAGATGGGTGGATGTTGATGGGTAGTTAGCTGAGTGTGTAGGTGGATGATGGACGAGTGGGTAGGTGAATGGTAGATGAATGGGTGGGTGGATGGGTGGATGATGGTAGATGAATGGGTGTGTGAATAATGGATGGATGAATGGATAGGCGGATGATGGATGGATATATGGATAGATGGGTGGGTAGGTAGATAGATGAATGGATGAATGGATGATGGGTTGATGGGCAGATGAGTAGGTGGATGATAGATAGGTGGATAATGGATGGATGGATGGGGAGATGATGGGTGAGTATAGGTGGATGATGGATGGGTGTATGATGGATAGATGGGAGGTTGGATAATGGTTGGATGGATGGACGGATGGATGGGTGTGGAAATAATGAATGGGCAGATAATGGATGGCTGGATGGGTGGGTGGATGGATGATGGCTGGCTGTGGGGTGGGTGGATGATAGATGGATGGATGATGGATGGATGAATGGACAGATGGGTGAATGATGGCTGATTGGGTTAGTGGGTGGAGGATGGATGGATAGGTGGATAATGGATAGATGGATAGATGGATGATGGATGGATGGATAGGTAGGTGTTGGATAGGTGGATGACGGATGAAAGGATAGGTAGGTGACGGATAGGAGGATAGATAGATGGATAGATAGATGATAGATGGATGGGTAGATAATGGATAGGTGGATGGTGGATGGATGGGTGGGTAGATGTTGGATGGACGGATGGATAGATGGTTGGGTAGGTAGGTTCCTTGAGGAATGAAATCTTGTTATTCAGAGATTTTAGGTTTTTCAAATATAACCATCCAAGGATGCAAAGATTGTATGAGAGTGAAGCACTATGCTTCCTTAAGGAAGCAGACCTTCAGTGGAGGCCAGGGAAAACTCACAGCCTTCTGCTTCTAATCCCTAGCTGCTCTGGTGGACCATATCCAGTTTGGGGACTGCCACATTGGACACAGCTATAATGTGAGCTTCACAGTCACAAATCACAGCCAAGTGAACGTGATACGGTTTCAATGGCCTGTTTTAGCTACAGTTACTTTCTCCCCACAGGTAAATAAAAGTCGTTCATCATTTTCTGGAATCCCTTAGGCCTAAGCCAACCCCAGACTGATTGTCAGCCCTTTCCTATGGATGCATGGCTTAGAATGAATGTATCTCAAGCTGAGAGACAGCCCAGGAATCATCCCTCACTTATACCAGGTAGCAGAGGACACTGTTCATGTCTCCCCTGGTTAAGAGGGAAAGGCAAAGAATGAAGTTGGCCAAGATTGTTGCTAGGCTGCTGTCAAGGGGCCCTGTGGAGGCCTGTATAGGTGAATACAGGTCCTCGTCTTCCTATCCCAGAGTGTGGAGCTATGTCCTCCTAGGTGTGTGTCCTTTAGAGTATCAGTCCTTCAAAATGCTTCACCAAAGGCTAGAATGGGGGTGATGGGTTCTGTGGACAACTGGGATTTATAAAATGTTTCAAGTTCCATCTTTCTCTTAAAGATTCCTTGTTCCCTTTGGCATGTTATAACCTAGTTAACTTTGTTTTACCTGGAATTTTCTAACCCCGTGTTTTCACATCTCCACAGCACACAGTTTTGAATTGCTGACTAAAGCTCAACATTGAACAAGGTCTAGGATACTGTTCTAGCAGATTGTTGCCTCTGCTCAATGATTGCTTTCATAGACAGTTCACTTCTGAGTTCCCAGGGCACTGGCACACCCCAGTCTCTTCACTGTCTCCTGCTCTGTTGACACACAGCCACTGAGTCTACTCAAGCACAGTACTCAAGGGGGATGGACTAAGGGGGTTGGGGATTCTGCTTTGTCATCTTTAAATCTTTGCATGCCATTAGGGATAAACTTTGCTTTTTTGGAGGGATGTAAAGTTCATTAGGACCCTTACCATTCCATTTCAACGTGGTCCAAATCCAACCCTGAAGAGAGCTAATATATCATTTTATTTATAAGTTGAGTGCTTACTATATGCCAGACATAGTTCTAAGACCTTGGTTAATCTTCTCAACAATGCTATAAGGCAAATGCTATCATATATATATATATATATATATATATATATATATATATATATATTGCATTTTAGGTTTTGGGGTACATGTGAAGAACATGCAAGATTATTGCATAGGTACACACTTGGCAGTGTGATTTGCTGCCTTCCTTCCCGGGAAATGCTATTATTTTTTTAGACAGTCTTACTCTGTTGCCCAGGCTGGAGTGCAGTGTTGCTCACTGCATCCTCTACCTCCCAAGCTCAAGTGATCCTCCTACCTCAGCCTTCCAAGTAGCTGGGACCAGGTATGCACCACAACACCTGGGTAATTTTTTTGTGCATTTAATAGAGACAGGTTTCACCATGTTGCCCAGTCTGGTCTCAAACCCCTGAGCTCAAGCAATCCACCTGCCTCGGCCTCCCAAAGTGCTGGTATTACAGGTGCAGTGGCCACTGCACCCAACCATAGATACTACAGTACTATTATCTGCATTTTATCTGTGAAGAAACAAACACAGTACAATATAATAGGGTAATCTGCTTTTGTGCATTATTTTTGTTAGCAAAGGGTGAGTCAAAGAAGGCAGAGAGGCCAGGAATGGTGGTTCACGCCTATAATCTCAGCACTTTGGGAGACTGAGATGTGCGGATCACAAGGTCAAGAAATCGAGATCATCCTGGCCAACATAGTGAAACCCCATCTCTACTAAAAATACGAAAATTAGCTGGGCATGGTGGCATGTGCCTGTAGTGTCGCAGCTACTTGGAAGGTTGAGGCAGGAGAATTGCTTGAACCTGGGAGATGTGGTTTGCAGTGAGCCAAGGTCATGCCACTGCACTCCAGCGTAAGGGACAGAGGATACTCCATCGCAAAAAAAAAAAAAAAAGGCAGAGAAAAGCTGCTTATTCTCCGTTTGTATATACACACCACTGGTACACATACATGCACACACACACATATATGACTTGGAAAAACCTTTCTTCTTGCCTCACTTTCTGGAGGAGGGAGACTGTTTTATCTGTCAGAAACATGATAGGACTGTCATATATATATAACCATGATAGGACTGGTATATATGTGTGTACACGTATGTGTATGTTCATGTATGCAAAATCATAAATGATTGTATTCGACAGCCCAAACTGGATTTCCCATATGTCTGATATGCTTCGGCAATTCTCAAACGTTTTGGTCTCAGGACTTCTTTATACTCTTAAACATTATTGAAAATCCACAAGAGCTTTGGTTTATGTGGACTATGTCTACCATAATTTACCATACTAGAAATTAAAAATGAGGATGTTTAAAAACATGTATTTATTTATTTCAAGTTATCATAAACCCATTACATGTTAATCAATACCATATTTTTATGAGAATAACTATATTTTCAAAAATTTGAGTAAAAGAAGTGGCGTTATGTTTTTATAAATTTCTTTACTATCTGGCTTAATAGAAGACAGCTGGATTCTCATATCTACTTTTACATTCAATTGGATACAAAATTGTATGTATTAGTTCATTTTCATACTGCAGATAAAGACATACCAAGATTGGGTAATTTATAAAGAAAAAGGGGTTTAATGGACTCATAGTTTCATGTGGCTAGGGAGACCTCACTATCATGGCAGAAGGCAAAAGGCACATTTTACATGGTGGCAGACAAGAGAAAAAAATTAGAGCCAAGAAAAGGGAAACCCCTTATAAGTCTCTTGTGGAGACTTACTCACTTCCACAAGAATAGTATGGTGGAAATCAACCCTATGATTCAATTATCCCTCTCACAACACGTAGAAATTATGGGAGCTACAATTCAAGATGATATTTGGGTGGGGACACAGCCAAACCATATCATTCTGCCCCTGGCCCCTCCCAAATCTCATATCCTCACATTTTAAAATGAATCATGTCTTCCCAACAGTCCCCCAAAGTCTTATTTCAGCATTAACTCAAAAGTCCACATGCCAGATTTTCATCTAAGACAAGGCAAGTCTCTTCCACCTATGAGCCTGTAAAATCAAATTAGTTACCCCCTAGGTACAATGGGAGTACAGGCATCGGGTAAATACAGCTGTTTCAAATGAGAGAAATTGGCCAAAATTAAGGGGCTATAGGCCCATGCAAGTCTGAAATCCAATGAGGCAGTCAAATCTTAAAGTTCCAAAAGGTCTCCTTTGACTCCATGTCCCACATCAAGATCATGCTGATGCCAGAGGTGGGTTCCCATGGTTTGGGCAGCTCTGATCCTGTGGCTTTGCAGGGTACAGTCCCCCATCCCCCAGCTGCTTTCACTGGCTAGAATTGAGTGTCTCTGGCTTTCCCAGGTGCATGATGCAAGCTGTTGGTGGATCTATCATTCTGGGGTCTGGAGGAGAATGGCCCTCTTCTCATAGCTCCACTAGGCAGGACTCTGTGTGGGGACTTCAACACCACATTTCCCTTCCACACTTCCCTAGCAGAGGTTCTCCATAAGAGCCACATCCCTGTAGCAAACTTCTGCCTCGACATTCAGGCATTTCCATTACCTCTGAAAATCTAGGCACAGGTTCCCAAACCTCAATTCTTGACTTCTATGCACCCACAGGCTCAACACCACGTGGAATCTGCCAAGTCTTGGGGCTTGCACTCTCTGAAACCATGGCCTGAACTGTACATGACCAGAGTGGCCGAGATACAGAGCACCACGTTCTTAGGTTGCACACAGCAGGGGGGGGCCTGGGCCACCCACAAAACCATCTTTTCCTCCTAGGCCTCTGGGTCTGTGATGGAAGGGGCTCTCACAAATGTCTCCGACATGCCCTGGAGACATTTTTCCCATTGTTTTGGCAATTAACATTTGGCTCCTCACTACTTATGCAAATTTCTGAAGCCAGCTTGAATTACTCCTCAGAAAATGGGTTTTTCTTTTCTATCATCAGGCTGAAAGTTTTCTGAACTTTTATGCTCTGTTTCCCTTTTAAAACTGAATGCTTTTAAGAGCACCCAAGTCACCTATTGGATGCCTTGCTGCTTATAAATTCTTTCTGCCAAATACCCTAAATCATCTCCCTCAAGTTCAAAGTTGTACAGATCTCTAGGGCAGGGGCAAAATGCTACCAGTCTCTTTGCTAAAACATAGTAAGAGTCACCTTTACTCCAGTTCCCAAAAAGTTCCTCATCTCCATCTGAGATGATCTCAGCCTGGATTTCATTGTCCATATAATCAGCATTTTGGTCAAAGCCATTCAACAAGTCTCTAGGAAGTTCCAAACTTTCCCACATTTTCCTGTTCTCTTCTGAGCCCTCCAAACTGTTCCAACCTCTGCTTGTTACCCAGTTCCAGAGTCACTTCCATATTTTCAGGTATCTTTATAGCAGTGCTCCACTCACTCTACCAGTACCAATTTACTGTATTCGTCCGTTTTCATGCTGCTGATAAAAACATACCTGAGACTGGGTAATTTATAAAGAAAAAGAGTTTTAATGAACTTGCAGTTCCATGTGGCTGGGGATGCCTCACAATCATGGCAGAAGGTGAAAGGCACATGTTACATGGTGGCAGACAAGGCAGAAAGTTGAGAGCCAAGTGAAAGGGGAAACCCCTTATAAAACCATCAGATTTTCTAGACTTACTCACTACCACAAGAACAGTATGGGGGAAACTGCCCCCATGATTTCATTTGCCTCCCACCAGGTCCCTCCCACAACGTGTGAGAATTACGGAGTCTGCAATTCAAGATGAGATTTGGGTGGAAACTTAGCCAGACCATATCACCATATATCACATAACCTCTGGAAAACTCTGTTGTACACTTATGAGAAAAATGAGAGTGAAGAAGCCAAATAACATCTTTGTGTTACTATGAAAATAGTCTTGACCTCATGGACCCCCTGAAAAGGTCTTGGGGATCCCAAGGTCACTAGAACCCCTTTGGAGAACTGCTAGTATACTGTATTCCTCTTTCCATAATTTGTATAGATTATATTGATTCAGAGTGTCACATTTGAGCCCAACTGCTTGGGTCTAAATCCAACTCCTCCAAAATTAAAAGCCTTGAGCAAGTTACAAGTTTCATTGTCTGTAAAATGGGAATAATAGCTGTACATCTCAGGTTTATTGTAGGGATTAGGAGAATTGTGTAAAGGTTTAGAATAGTGCCTGAAGCAAGTAAGTTTGATCAATATTAGTTGTTCTTGTTATGATTATTATGTTTCTACCTAAGAACCTCTTTTACATATTTAATTCTGTCTACATACACAGGCTTGACTGATGAATTTTTTGCCAAGACCTTTGGCTCCTTCCCTTCTCTAGAATATCACCAGCATGTATGAAGAGTCCTCAAGATTAGATTCTCAAAAATACTAATACCAGGCTCTTCCCTAGGTGGGCCACCTCCACCCTGGGTGTGCCAAGGACATAGTGGTGACCATGAAGTCAGACATACCCATCAACCTGAAGAACATGCAGATCAAGTGCAAGCTCTCCAAGATCATGTTTCAGGTCCCTGCAGACCAGGTCCCTGACTGGGATGACCGCATGCGCACCGTCAAGTGGGTGGACGTGCCCAGAAACATGCCTGGAACTCTCACTACAAAAAGAAAAGTAAGTGGAGACGTTAAGCATCAATCTGACCAGACCTCCGTGCTTGGATTCCTACTGCTCTCAAGTCCCTTGTTTCCTTTTTTCACAGAAAAAAAGAAAAGGTTACCATTCTATTTGACCTTGATTCCAAAAGTAACAAACCAAACTTCCACACATGCTGCCTGCCATCCATGCTACATGTACCACATATCTTCATTGGTAGACCTTTAGCTTACGTCTTGATAAGTAGTTTAGCAAGTTCTCCCACCTTTTTCTTCTTCAAAAATGTCAAGACTAAACTTTTAGTTGTTTCCTTTCTCCCTCAGGTGTCCAGAATCACATTAGTCGTCATCTTTGGTTCATGGCAGGATCTCATCTTTGGGCCGTGTGTGCCCCTCTTTTATTCATTCCTTGGTTAGTTGTTGTTTTTTTAATAACATAATACACAAAGACAAACTCACACCCAACACGGGAAATAGAACATTGACTACCTGTGTGATTCTCAGCCATTCCATCCCTCAGCCTCTATCCTAGAGGTAATCACTATCTTGACTTGACTTGTTCACTCCCTGGGTTTTTTGTGTTTTGTTCTTTTTTTAACCTATGCACACTAAAAGATATATCAGGTCAGGCTCAGAGGCTCATGCCTGTAATCCCAGAACTTTGGGAGGCTGAGGTGTGCAGATTGCTTCAGCCCAAGAGTTTGAGACCAGCCTGGGCAACATGGTGGTTGCCATCTCTACCCAAAAATAGAAAAATTAGCTGGGTGTGATAGTGCACACCTGTAGTCGCAGCTACTCTGGTGGCTGAGGTGAGAGGATCATCTGAGCTCGGCAAGGTCAAGGCTGCTGTGGGCCCTGATCACACTGTACACCAGCCTGGAAGACAGCGTGTGGACTCTTTCCCAAAAATTAAAAATAAAACGTATATTGTTTAGTTTTAAACTTTAAAAAAAGTTATTGTATTATTGTATGTGGTCATCCAGATTGTCGGATGTGGCTGTAATATATCCATTTCACTGCTACATAAAATTCCATTATTATTTATTCCTTCTCCTTTTGAAAATTATTTGGGGTTTTGCTATCGCAGGCATTATTGTTCATTTGGTGTTCATTTGTAAGAGTTTATATTGCTGGAAGTGGAATGGCTGACTTATTGGATATATGAATGTTCAGCTTGCCAAGATAATGCCCAACTATTTTCCAGAGTAGCTGTACCAATTT